AATTTTGAAAGCCCTGCTCTTTTCCAGTTTGCTCCCAGCCAAGCACTGATCCAGGAGGCTAAGCAAAGGCCTAGTCGTGTTGGGCTAGTGAGATGCTGCTCTGTCCAGAAGTTTTCCCCAAGCTCCCCACTGCACTGACAGGGGCTTTCTGGGGCTGGGAATCATCCCCTAATGCCTTTGTCCAGCCATTTGGGCCCTCTTCTCTGTTGTCTGACAAGTTGTTACTCTCTATAAACCTTTTACATTTTTCCTCCATGTAAGTAGTCACTTCAGCAGGAGTGGCAGTCCCACAAGTATTTATTTATGTTAAGCCTGGCATTTAGAAGGATTATATGGAATGGTTATTAGACAGCAAAAGGAACAGAAAATAATGTATATAATGTTTTAACCATATAATATGCATATATTTATATAACTTAAATATAAATGTATTTAATATTTAAATATATGTATGTGTTTATATAATTTAAACATATAAAATGTATTTAATATATGTTTATATATATTTAATTTGTGTTTGTGTTTTTGAAGGACTAATAAAAATCCAACAGCACAACTACTTTGCAGGAAAAAGATAAGATATTCATTTTTTAAATGACTGGAATAAAGGGAAATTGCTTGCAAATAACACTAATCAAAAGGAGACAGTTCATCAATTTGCACACCCCCATCATCCAGCTTCCAGCAAGCAGGGCCCAGGACCCAAGCGTAGAAAATTCAGTGTTTCTGGAGAACATGAAAGTGAATCTGCAGTTGGTGACACATGGGAAGAAGTCATTAGAATTCATTAAATGCAGCAACCCTGCTGGGTGGCAGGTGCGGCAGTCTGCGCCACCTGTGATGCTGTCCACCGACAGTGACCGAAGCAGCCAACTGGATTTTCTTGATCAAAACGTGGCTGTGGGATTAATTTCTCTTCTTCCTTAGGAGTTACCTTCATTTTGCCCAATTTGCAGGCTGCTGCTCCCATGATTCTATGCATTCCCTGATATTCTTCCAATAATCTTTTTCCTTATGTTTATCAGTCCTGTTTCCATTGCATGCAAATGAGATGAGATCAATGGAAATTTGGATGTTCGTATATCTCCCCCACCTTATCAAAGCCCCATAGAAAAATTTAAGTCTAAACACTGCATCTTTCTTTCCTGGTACAATATAGTAACTGGGAGTTAAGTTCAAAAGGTATTAATCCTCAGTCAGCTTTGTATCTTCAGTCACTACAGCCTGAACTTTCTGTGATGACCATGCTTCTTTAAAACCTCAAAGTTGAATTTCTTCGCCACCAAGAGTCTGAACAGCCCCATGCTTTCAATTCCAAATCAAAACTGTCGAAGTTATCACCCACACCTCTGATGTTTGAAAGCTCAAGGAAGAATGACTAGAACTATTGTTTCCAACAAAAGGATGTTTTCAGAACCAGGGCAGAGAACAATACAGAAACATGCTACTTTTTAGAAGTTGATAGCAGTGACGCAATGAAACCTGGAAAAAGCAGTAGACAGACACTTGTGAGGGTTGGGGAAATGTCCGTGTATCCTCCAGAGCCTATGAGAGCTTCTGCCAGTCTGTAACTGGGAAATTGAACCTTTTTGAAACTGCCTGTAATCAGTAAGCTAAGTGTGGAAGTTCACTTAATCATATAAAGGAGTTAAAAAAATCCTCTGTCCATAGCAATTTTTGCTATTTCATACATTTATGTTCTCTTAAGAATTTTAGAAGTGTGCAGTGGTCAACTCTGGTCTGATTCTCTGTTTTACATATTCAGAACTTCTAAATTTCTATTTCTACTTGAGCCTGTTGTTTCAGACACTTCAACGATGTATTGTGGGTGAATTCTGTCAGGTGACATTTTCTTTTTTCCTCCTCTGTGCAGAGTGGATTGTGTCAGTGGCTGCCAACTCTCCATTCAGGGTGCTTTTACCACATGTCTCAAGTCCTGTATTTTCTCCTGCTGTCCGTCTTCCTCTGAGGGCCAGTGCATCTTTAACTCTGGGCTGCGGCATCTGCTTCCTCGTATTTTTGGAGTGGACTTTCTTAAGTTTGTAACATATGTATGATAGGGAAGTCCTCCCTCGAGAATCTGTCTGATTCAGCATGAGACTTATTCTTAGTGCATTTTTAAAAAAATGAAGCTGCTGCCGATGCCTCTTCCTACAGAACCAGCAACCTAGTGGGAATCACCACTTCTGCCAGATGCTCACTCTGGAAGCTTTGTCTTTCCACCAGCTGTGATTACCCTGACCCCTTGGAAACCTTTGGCGATTCAGAAATAGTAGAAATATTCCTTTATGCCATATACTTTCACATGGCTGTGAAATGAAGTCTCTGTATTCTATTTTCATTCATTTTCTTCTTTTGTAGTTAAACAGAACTGAGTTTGAGAAAAAAGTATTTTTTAAGCCAGTCACATTTTCATTCTGCCTTGTTTGTTGGATTGAATGACAGTATCTGTGTTGCTCTTGCTTCAAATTGTTTTATGTCCAGAGTTTTTTTCTTTTCTCCTTCTCCTCCCTCTCCTTTTCCTTCTCTCTTTTTCCTTCCCCCTTCCCCCCTCCCCATCCCCCTCTCCTCCCCTCCCTCCCCCCCCCCTCCCCCCTCCTCCCCCCCCCCCCCCCCCTCCCCCTCCCCCTCCTCATCCTTCTTCTTCTTCTTCTTCCTCCTCCTCCTCTTCTTCTTCCACTCTATCCCTCTAACTAAGCAATTTTCCTTTCCTACCCTTCCAATCTCGGATCGTGTTTAACCTACTTTTGTCCTCTATTCTGTACCTTGATGTTTCTATTACTTCCTCTACTCCTCTAACATATTCTACATGGGAATCTCTAGAACCAAAATAACTATTATTACCATCTAACATTAACTGTGTTGTCTTATAAGTAATATAATAATGCTATAAATATTCTAGCTACACTTTCCTGGTATGGTTATCTGTAGTTGGTCTTCCTCTTTTTTCCTGTGATCATCTAGTATAGTTGTTTTTAAATGTTGTTGTCCTTCTCATTATTATTATGAATTATGTATCAGAAGCTTTCAGAGGGTTCATTTCCATAATTTCCTGGAATCCAACCTGGCTTTGAGAAAGTCAGTCCAATTTTTTTCTTTTGAATCATTGCCTCTCTTCTTTCATTAGATGTATTCAGGTATTAGTCATTGTCCATAACCCAGTAGAAGAAAATCTCCTTTTTTAATTCTCATTTCCTAAACACATGGCTAACATGAAATTACTATTAATAAACATATACTTTAAAAAATTTTAAACTGTTTTTGTCTAGCCTCTTTTTATAGCCTAACATTATCTAAAACATATTGTTTACAATGTAAAGGCTTAAAAAGCTCCTACTGACATCACAAGGTACTCAGTAGCTCCTTCTCCTTCTCTTCCTCCTGCTCCTTCCTTCTTCTGCTTCTGAGTCCCTCCCCTTCCTCCACTTCCCTACCCTCATTCTCCTAGTTTATTATGACTAGTTTACATAGAGAAAGCATCCCTTTTTTCTGCCCTGGCTCTTTGAAAAGCATCTCTAATTAAGCATTCATTACTAATCAGGTTCTTAGCCTATCTTTTTCATCTCTGTGTGGAACTAGTAAAATTAGTTCCTAAAATTCTGGGTTTGGGGCACTGGCAGGTGATATTAGGGCAGCTTTGGTTTAGGGTTAAACTCTCCGTACACATGTGTTCTCTTGCTTACTTAATAGTTAGCCCAGTTACATGTTTATAGTAGCTCTCCCTCCAAATGTATTTTCCATATACTTAAGTTATTAACATACTACAGAAAATTATTAGTAAACAAAATATTTTATTTAAGAAAACAAAAAAATAATGTGTATTTAATTGTTTTTTTTCCACGTTATATGGAAGTAATTAAATGTTTTGTAGACTTCAGGTTTCTATAAGCAGATAAAAGGATAGAAGTCTTTCTTAGCCCTAATGAGAGTACACTACAGGGTTGTAGGAATTAAATCACTGAAGGTAGGCTGTAAGGAGATTAGTATGATTGAATTTGTTTCTGTGTTTTGGATACAACCTTGGGCAATTATGGAGCAGACAATAGCTAGAGGGATTTGAACATCAGTGGGGAAGTATGAAAATAATTTTCTAAACAAAAAGGTGGCCACAGACTAGATGGGAATATTGTTTCATAAGAAGCCATAGCAGATGGAAAATATGGATGCATTAGAATAACTCTGTGTAGGATATGTTAAGAATGTGGGCTTTTAACTGGCAATAGCAGCAGAATGAAATGTTAATAGACGTGAGATTATTTTACAATATACATGAGAAAATAGATTATATTTTATTATAATCTACTTTAATATATTATATTAAACACATCTATATTAATATATTTATTAATAATAAATCTAATATATATTTATTATAAAATAATCTAGAAAAATAGATTATTTTATAATCGATGTGAGAAATTCACATGCCATAGAAGTCACCACTTAGCCACTTTGGAGTGTACCATTCATTAACATTTAGTGTACTCACAAAGTCTTAAAAGCATCACCATTTCTGATTTAAACCAATTCCTGAGAAAATTCCAGAGGAACCTTGTACCATAGCTATTTGCAGTCACTGACCATGGGCCCTCTCACCTGGCCCCTGCCCGTTACTGATCTGCTTTCTCCCTGTATACATGTGCCCAGGGAGACTTTTCATCCAAATGGAATCCTCATACATTATGTATGTAGTCTTTTTGTCTGGTTTCTTTCACATAGCATGATATTCTAAAGATTTACTCATGTTGTGCCATGTATCGGAACTTTATTCCTCTTTATAGCTGAATAACATCCCATTTTTTGTTTGTACATTCGTTTGATGAAAATTTCCATTGTTTCCATTTGACCACCATAGGTACTCTTCGGTTCACTGCTCCCCTACGGAGAGGTGCAATGAGATTAACGCATTTCCACACTTGCTAAAACAACACCTGGCCTGTAGCTTGTGTATCCAGGAATAATTTCAACTTTCAAGTCTTATTATTCAAGAAATAGTTTGTATACTTACCTGCCCGGGGAGATACCACAGTCACAAAGGTGGTTTTCCCAGGGTGAGGCTTCTCTATGGCACTCGGGATGTGCTGACCCCTGAGAGTTCCCCAAATGTGGGAAGCTCAACTGCATGATTTGTGGTAGTAGGGGCTTCATTTGCACTCTCTCGTGGCTTCTTATGGGAAAAAAAAATAAAATTCATTTTGGAAGGCTATGGCTGCCACAGATAGCAATTCCTTTAATAAATCTAGGCAAGGTGCATGGAAAACCTGGAAAGGGTTCACCATTTGAGATGCCCTGAGAAGATGTCAAAATACCAACATTAAGATCAGTTTTAAAGACTTGATTCCAACCCTGGTGGATGATTTTGAGGGGCCCAAGCCCTCAACAGGGGAAAACAAACAAACAAAACAAAAACAAAAAACTAATGGAAATGTGGTGGAAAGAGCAAGATAATTCAAATTAGAACTAGAGCCTGAAGATTTGCTTAAATCACTGCAATCTCAATAAAACTTTAATGAAAAAGAAGTTGCTGCTTATGGTTCAGCAAAGAAACTGGTTTCTTGACACTGAATCCACTCCTAGTGAAGAGGCTGTGAAGAGTGTTGAAATGACAACAAAGGATTTAGAATATCACACAAACTTGTTTGACAAAGCGGCAGTAGCACTCAAGAGGATAAACTTCAATGAAAATTCTTTTCAAAATAGCATTGCAATTTATTACAATTAAAGGCTTTAAACATAATATTTATGAGCAGCTGGTGACTAGCCAGTTGGACAGGTTCCTTGTCATCCCACACTTTTTGGTCCTTTTAGAAAATAAATAGCAATGATATTTTGTTTCTTAGAAACAGAAAATAGCAATGCCGCATCTCAAATCACAATTCCCTTTAATCAACATTGTGACATAGGGAAAAAATGGTAAAGATCAATGAATAACATCCAGTTAGAGAAAATTGAAATCCACAAATAATCTGTTCAATGAGGGCCCTTGAGTAAATTTACTTAACGAGTATTTGTAAGACAGAAATAGCTACATTGCAGAGTTATTGAATACTTCTGGCATTTGAAGTAGCCACACATTAATTCTGGTTTGAAGAAACATTCGTAAGAAGAGGATGTGAAAGCTATTTAGAAGATTTTGAGTTCTCTATGCAATGACTTTCTAGCCAGACTCCTCACATAAAGATTCTAAGAAAAAACGAGATGCTTTCTAGAAAGGTGTCTTAGTCATAGTTTTGTAACATACTGATTTATTTCAAATGGATATGCTTGCTGCATGTACACTGTGGGTAAACCATAGTGTAAAAAATATAAAATATTTACTGATTTATCTTTATTTCTTTTTTTCTGCCTCTTCCTTTCTATTAGGTCTCCTTCTCACAGACTAGCCAATCTACATTTACATATTTAATGCATGTGTGAATGAACTAATGGAAGATATAAATAATATATATAATACCACGAGTACTGTTCAATTCTTCTTCCTGATATATTTAAATTTCAGTAGGGCACACAGTACTTGCCTTAATAAGAAAAGAATGGCTAATTGTGAATACCAATCACCATTACAGTGAGAGATTATATTAGGAACACGACTTTTTTGCCCTCCCTGTATTCCTTCAATCAAATGCTTAACCAACTGCTCTATTAACTAACATCTGCCCTTATGTATCAGAATATTTCTACTGTTTTCATTGTCATGATTTTGGTGGACATATGAATATAAACCACAGTGTCTAAAATTTTCTCTCGATTTCAATTATCTTTATTTTCATATTAAGGAACAATAACATAAAACACAAGTATTTGATTTATTTATTGATTTGTTTACATAGGAAAACAACTCCACCGATGGAAGGAGAAACAAACTTTTTAATAAGGACCTAGAAAAATCAGCAAATTTTACTATGGGACAGAAATGTCTTTATTGTTACTGGGCACTGAGTATATTTTATTCCTTCTTTGAAACTGATTGTGTCACCTCTAAATTTATTGTTTCTGAACTATTTGAAACATATAATCAGAATTTTAGAATTCTATGCTACACTGTCTTGTACATTTTGTGATCAGGTAAGCCATTCAAGTAAACATCTAATATGAATTATAGACATTATATATGTAATATGCTTTCAATTGATACATTATAAAACTTCTATTACTATTGGTGAGCTCCCTAAATTGACCTGAAATCTTTATTTGATTATTAATTACACACACATATACACACAATACATATAATTAAATATATTTTTTAGATTGTATTGCTTTCAAAAATAGTCAATGCCACAGTTTAAGACTGTCAATTTAAGTGTACTTGAACTCTGTGTCCCAGAATTCTCTTCAGCACATGATTCCTGTTCAGATTTTGTTATAAGAGAAATACACTGAGAAAGCAGCACTTGGAAAGGGCTGCTGACTGTCTCTGGTCAGAGCCTGCCAGGAACAGGTAGAGTGGGCAGCCAGCTCCCCCTTGTACCTACTCGGCTTTCAGCTGAACACAGCACATTCTCCTTCCTCACTGCTGGTCTTGGTGACCAAGGCTGACTCGGGCTTCCACCTGGTATTTTGCAGGAAGCTCACCGAAGGAGCAGCGACAGAGAAGCCACAAACTGTGGACCTCCCCAGAAGCCTCCACGTTTCCTTCCAGCACCTCTCCTGTCCTGTAGGCGCCAGGCTGACCGAGGCTTTTCTCCGAGCCCTTTCAGACCTTTCCCTAGCAGCATCAGCATAGATTGTATTGGGTACAATTTCAAGTTAAAAAGAAAAGCCATTTAATAGTCCATAAAACTCACAGTGTTCTGCCTCTCCGTTTTAGCGCTGATAGAACAATCCAGAAGTGTAGGTTTGTTACAATGTGGCCAATATCTATGGAGTTTCACACATTGAGTGCATCTGTTTAGGGGAGAGGAGGTAGAAGAGTGAATTGTTCCTCCTAGAGCCAACACCTCAGGACAAATGAATTTACTTTTTATAACTCAGGGAAACCAATCAGAGATTATCGGGAAGTTTCTATAAAACCCAATGTCTAGAATATTTAAAATATGTTAAGAACGCCCAGTTTCACCGGCAGAGTAGCCTGTGGATCTGAATGCCACAGACCTCATGCCAGTGGAATGGTTACTGCTGGTCGATAGGTAGGACAGCTAGGTCAGTTCAGGTTTATCCAGCAAGTTGATAGAATTGCACAAGAGGTGCCATTGTCCACTGGCTTTTCTTAAAATTTTCCTTCAAATCAGGGTCAACATACTGTTTCAGTAAATACTTTCAGCGTTATGGATCATATGGTTTCTTTCTTTTCTTCTTCTTTTTTTTTTTTTAAGAGAAACAGAATTCGTGTGTCATCCTTGCCCAGGGGCCATGATAATCTTCACTGTATCATTAAAAATATGGAACACTTCATGAATTTGCATGTTGGGAGAACTGGACAGCTACGTGCAAAAAAATGAAACTTGAGCACCAACTTACACCATACACCAAAATAAATTCAAGGTGGATAAAAGACTTAAATATAAGCCATGACACCATTAAAGTCCTAGAGGAGAACATTGGCAGGAAAATCTCAGATATTTCATGCAGCAACATTTTTACTGATATGTCCCCTGGAGCAAGGTATATAAAGGAAAGAATAAACAAATGGGGTCTCATCAAAATAAAAAGCTTCTGCATGGCTAAAGAAAACAGGATTAAAATAAAAAGAGAACCAACTATGGGAAAACACATTTGCCAATGATACCTCAGACAAAGGTTTAATCTCCAAAATATACAAAGAACTTACACGACTCCACTCTAGGAAGACATTGAACCCAATTAAAAAATGGGAAAAGGACTTGAACAGACACTTCTCTAAAGAGGACATACAGAATATCCAGAGACACATGAAGAGATGCTCAATATCGTTAGCTATCAGAGAGATGCAAATTAAAACCACAATGAGATACCACTTTACACCAGTCAGGATGGCTATAATAAACAAAGCAACAAACAACAAATGTTGGAGAGGTTGTGGGGAAAAGGGGACCTTAGTCCACTGTTGGTGGGATTGCAGACTGGTACAACCATTATGGAAAACAGTATGGAATTTTCTCAGAAAAATAAAAATCGACCTGCCTTTTGACCCAGCAATTCCACTGCTAGGATTATATCCTAAGAACCCTGAAACACCAATCCTAAAGAAGCTATGCATACCAATGTTTATAGCAGCACAATTTATAATAGCCAAGAGTTGGAAGCAACCTAGGTGCCCATCAGTAAATGAATGGATCCAAAAGCTATGGTACATTTACACGATGGAATTCTATGCAGCAGAAAGAAAAAAGGAGGTCCTACCCTTTGCAACAGCATGGATGGAACTGGAAAGCATTATGCTGAGTGAAATAAGCCAAGCGGTGAAAGACATATACCATATGATCTCACCTTTAACAGGAACCTAAACAACAAAACAAAGAAGCAAGCAAAATAGAACCAAAGACACTGAAATAGAGAACAGGCTGACCAGGGACCAGAGGGGACAGGGAAGGGAATTTCAGGGGAAAAGGGAAAGGATTTAGAAGAACTAGTATAAAGGACACATGGACAACAACTAAGGGGGGTAGAAATGGGAGGGAGGTGGGGAGGGCTGGGGGGATGGGCTGGGATGGGAGTAAAAGACAGAAAACTGTACTTTAACAATAATTAAATTAAAAATATTTAAAAAAACCCAAAATTAAAAAGGCAGTTAATTAAAAAAAGAGAGAGAAACAGAATTCAATAGTCCTTTATTCAACACAGTTATTTTCCTCTCATTGACTTTTGCTCATGGCATATTTCTAGCTCCATATGTGAAAAAATTTCATACAAATAACCATGAATTAAAAATGTCAATATCCAGAAGAATTATCCTGTGAGGCCAAATAGTACATCAAATATTATTAAAATTAAATCACAATATAATTTAGACTTATGAAAATCCAACAGGGACATTATGGTCTTTTATAATTGTTTCTAATCACAAAAAAAATAAAACTACAAAGCTAAGAGAGAAATATTTATTTACAGGAAAATATTGGTTTTCTTTTCTTTTTCCCTCTGTCATTCCAGCAGACTTGACAAATTGAACACATAATTTAGCATATTTTTAACCCCCTCTGACATTATTCTCATTTTTGGGAAGGCTAGTCAAATACTTT